TCAACATAGTTTTTAAAAATATTAAATACAGAAAACCATAAAGAGGTTTTGTTTCTTCCCATTTCCCAATTTAGACACCATTTTAAACTGCTTTGCAGCATGGTACAATATTTATTTTCTGTTGTAATTTAAATTCCACTATGTTTGTTTAAACATGTTTACGTTCAGAGAAAGAAATAAACCATTATAGTGTTATGTGCATAATGTTATGTGATAAAAAAAAAACTGGATTTCTGTTGAAATGAAGAAGAGAATTTCCCCATGCTAAGTGGTACCTATCGTTCTCACTGAAGATCTTTTAATGTAGGGGCTATTTAAAGTATACAACCACTTATGTGTTCTCTCTGTATAGCTTTCTGTAAAAGGTTATAATGACAAGCAACATATTCTGCTGAGGAAGATTATTGAGAAAATGGCTACCTTTGAGGTTGATGAAAAGCGATTTGAAATTATCAAGGAGGCGGTAAGCCATTTTATAAGTTTGATCCTATTAGAATGAGAAGCATGCTATCTATGAAAAGTCATTAAAAATGAGTTGGTCTATTCCTTTAAAAGCTTAACTTTTAAACTTACTGTAAAAATGAACATTTGTAGAAAAGGGCAAGGCTGTAGATGAGATGAATAGTTCTAAATTTAAGTTAGAATCCTCTATACTTAATAGCGAATGATCTCCATTAAATCAGTGACTTATTTCTGAGCAGATAATAAAAGCTGTGAACGTTAAACCTTCAATTTGTAAAAGGCTAGGAATCCATGATATGAATAAATGTTAACCTCCCCATTTATTAGAGATGGATTTTTCACTCATGGTGGTGACTTCCTGATTCCCCAGCCCCACCCTTTTGACCATTGCAAATGTTCTGTGATGCTTTTATTTTTAATCTAGTTCAGAGGCTGGGGAAAGACTGGAAAATAATGTATTCAGTTCCTGTTCCCCAGACTCCAGCTGCCTAGCCTATGCCAGTATTTGCCACAACTACTGGGCCCCAGTATTAATCTTAAACCTCTTTTTATTAATTGATCTCACTTCCTGATTTCAGGTCTTAAAATTAAGAGGGAGCCCTAGTCCTTCCTAGTCCCTTCAAATATATTTTATTTGAATGCTTACTTTGAGTATAAAAGTGCTTAAGTCAGTGAGGTTCATTGAAAAGCTTCATTATTTAGCCATGACTTTTGTTTTTATTTCAATAGTACATGCGATCACTTAACAACTTTCGAGCTGAACAGCCACATGAGCATGCAATGTATTACCTTCGGCTCTTAATGACAGAAGTTGCTTGGACCAAAAATGAATTAAAAGAAGCTTTAGATGGTAAGGTTTTGCCAAATGTAAGTTGCATCTTTGCTATGTAATTGGTATATTGATTTGGTTTATTTTAAAGCAAATATGCCATAATGTGCTGTGGAGGATTAGGGCATTGTGATTGTTGTGAGATAGTTGAAAAATCTGGAGAATTTTCTGTTTTTCCACTGAGGACTTTTGTTTTTATTTCAATAGTACATGCGATTCCAAATTTAAAATTAAGGTGACCCTTAATTATGAAAGTCATTTATCCAGGAGATTAAAGTAGCAGTACTTTAAGTATCTAGAATAAACAGAAGAAAAAGCTTAGCAAAATTATCCAAATAGATTCCTAATTACAAGTCAAAATATTGTATGTGCAGCCTGAGGAAGAAGGTGGTAACAAACCCCACATCCAAAAATGTTGCCAAGAAAACTGCATGGAGCTATACATGTAGTTGCCAGGAATCAAGTCTCTCTCTCTCTGACTATATGCATGTGCGCGCGTGCATGCATGCATATAATATGAGCAGTAATTACATGAAGCATCCTTCTGTAAAGAGCAATATTTAGATAAACCGCACAATTTATGCAAACGTAATGTAAAATGTATGCACAATAAATTGCACAATTTATGCAAATGTAAATTGCATTTATATAGTAGTAAAGGCAGAAGACAATAAATTAAATGATGGCATGTTTTGTGCTGATTTACATGACTGTGCTAGTAAGCATATAGAAATCAATTTATGTACTTCATCAAACAATACAAATTTAAATTCAAGTTTTAAAATTAATTTTGGAAATTGGTTCCTGTTTACTTTTTTAGCTATTATTTAAATATAATATTCCTTTACAATTGGGACTGTGGTCTACCTGTCCCCTCATCATGATCAGGAAAAGAGTATAGAATCTACATGATAAAGAGATGTGACAAGAAAATCTTCCCTTGCTATATCATCCCATCTTAATCTTAGTATAAGGCTTTGTAAGTTAGAGTCTTATGAGGAAGGAAGACAGGATTTCCTTAGTAAATAGTTGACTACTTTCCTTCCTTTCCTCTACTTAGCTTGTGTTTAGTCCTGATTTCCCACCTTTCACAATGTACCCCTCTCTAACAGTAGGAAGTTGGTGAATCTGGATTATGCATATAGTTTTTTTGTTTGTTGATGGCTGATTACTATAGATAAATTAAGCTGTAGTTAGAAGTCTAACATAAGACAGGCTGTATCAAACTGTAAAAAAATTGGCATTAGAATGCATATCCTGCTGAATGCATTGCAATATAGTAAATAGCACCTAGATAGAAATGTACATTATTATTATTATTACTAGACAACCTGTGACCTGTTGGATCATCATTTCAGAAATACTTCCTTACCTAAACAGAGAAACAGAATGACCAAGGGCAAAAAAAGCAGTGGGAGTGGGAGTGA